TTAAAAAATAGTTGCCCGTATTGTAAAAAATTCGTTGTAGCTGAACTTTATTGACTGACTGTATTGAGGTAGCTGTGCTGGATTGCATAAAAAAAAATTAATTTGTCTTTTCTTAAAAAAAGGTAGCTCTGGTGGCTTGCATTTTTAAATAAATTTAGTGAGAAAGTGATAATTATTTTTACACTCTTTTTTTTTAAATGTCTCTTTTTCTGCAACTGCATTGCCTTTCTCAATTGTCCTTCAGGATCTTGGCCTTTGTTTATGGAATCACTAAGTATAATGATTATTAAGCAACTCAAAAACTATACTAGCGTGATTACCGACGTATCCTTTTGAGAGGTAGCCGCACCCTTATAAGAGGAATAAGACCCAAACTTTTAAGGTCAAAATTTCAATAGGTTGTGTATGTATGGCCTTTTCAATTTTATAAATTATCATTATTTTAATTGGAAAAATAAAACTCAAAATTAATGATAATCTCTGCGCGAAAAAATAAAAATCATAAAATAATCATTATTTGTAATCCCAAAATAAAAATCAAATAATAATTAGTTCCGTTTGAGCGAAAAAATAAAACTCAATAATAATTCATAAAATAATGATTAAACGCTGATTTAAATTATTTTTCTTATAATGATTACCTTCCCTGCGTTTAAAATTTGAAATAAAATAGTTTAGTGAAAGTACCACATTTCATTATTTTTGGACTGGTGCGTGACTAGTTACTATCGGACTGGTTCGTTTTTGGCGAAAAAGAACTAGTACTGAACTAGAAATTTGGTTCACTAGTTCGTGTTTTCCCTACAGGGTTTGAGCTAACAACTGATGCTTCGTCAAATGCCTTGGGAGCGGTATTATCTCAAAATAATCGACCTATAACAATGATTTCCCGTACGCTTTCTTCAACTGAACAAAATTATGCTACAAACGAACGTGAGATGTTGGCTATTGTGTGGGCATTAAAAACTCTGCGACATTATCTATATGGTACAAAAAATGTAAGAATCTTTACTGATCATCAGCCTCTTATATTCTCTATTTCAGAAAAAAATCCCAACACCAAAATGAAAAGATGGCGTGCATTTATTGAAGAGTTTTCGCCAAATTTTCATTATAAACCTGGGAAAGAGAATAAAGTAGCTGATGCTCTCTCTAGGCAATATATTAATAACCTCAGTACCTCGTTAGAAACAGAACATAGTGAAGAATCTTCTACAGATGTGACTAAAACTGTTAAGTGTCCGGTCAACCAATTTAGAAATCAATTGCTTTTAACAAAAGGGCCCTCCTATATTAAAACCACAAAGGTGGTTTTTCAAAAATTTATAGGTCATACTATTGTTTTCATTTCTGTAGAAGATTTATTACAATGTTTAAAAGATGTGGTTAATCCAAATAGTACTAACGCGATTCACTGTGATTTGGAGACTTTGGCGGAAATTCAAAATCCTATAGCTTCTTCGTTTCCAGGTGTTAAATTTCGGCATACAGAATTGTTCGTGATAGACTTGATAAATAGAGATGATCAACTGGAAACAGTAACCGTTGAACATAATCGCGCGCATCGTTGTTTGCTAGAAAATTTTAAGCAAATTATTAGCGAATACTACTTCCCTGGTATTAAAAAAACTTTAAAGTCAGTAATCGCGAATTGTAAAATATGTTTGGAGAACAAGTACCATCGGAAACCATCAAATTTGGAAATTGGTAGAACTCCAATTCCAAATTATCCTGTCGAAATTCTACACCTTGATATTTTCATACCAGGTAAACAGAATTTTTTAACTTGTTTGGATAAATTTTCAAAATGTGCTATGGTTAAGCCGATTGCATCGCGATCTACTTTGGATATTAAAGATGCTTTGCCTGAAATTTTGTTAGTATTTAAAAACACAAAAATAATGGTTTCAGATAATGAAAAGGCTTTTCAGTCTTATGTTATCAAAACTTTTTTGAGGGACAATTTTTCAATAGAGCAATTTTTCATTCCCACATTACACATTGAAACTAATGGTCAGGTTGAAAGATTTCACTCAACGTCAAGTGAAATATCTCATTGTATTAAGGAGCTACAACAGTAACATGAGACAGTAGACCTTGTTTTGTTAGCTACTATTAAATATAATAACAGCATTCACTCCACAACGAATGCTAAACCTACCCTGTAGGGAAAACACGAAATAGTGAACCAGATTTTGCCAAAAACGAACCAGTCCGATAGTAACTAGTTCCGCACCAGTCGAAAAGCAATGACATGTGGTACTTTCACTAAATTATTCTATTTTAAATTTTAAAATCAGGGATGGTAATCATTATGAGTAAAATAATTTAAATCAGCATTTAATCATTATTTTATGAATTATTATTGAGTTCTATTTTTTCGCTCAAACGGAAAGAATTATTATTTGATTTTTATTTTTGGGATTACAAATAATGATTATTTAATGATTTTTATTTTTTTCGCGGAGAGATTATCATTAATTTTGAGTTTTATTTTTCCACTTATNATCCACCACAGCTACCTCTATACAGTCAGTCAATAAAGTTTAGGTACAACGAATTTTCTACAATACGGGCAACTATTTTTTTAATAATTTAGTTTTCGATAATTTTTTATAAAAATATGGTCAATTCTACAACAAAATCCCCAAAACTCAGAGTTCCAAACCTTGTGCAAAATTTAAGAAAATTCTGCAAAATTGTATTAAAATAATTCACTTTCTATTTACGCTCTCTAGAAAAAGTTTTTTAGCCCATTCAATTTTAGTATAATGAAGTGCAAGTGTGAGGAAGCTAGGACTTACCAAACAACAAAAAAAAACATTGCTAAATATCAATGGTAAGTCCTACCTACCTCAAACTTGCACTTTGTTATACTAAAATTGAATGGGCTAATAACTGAGTACTTAACATTTTTCTAAAGAGTGCAAATTGCAATTCTTGGATGGAAATTCGCAGTTTTCTTTAATTTTGCATAAGGATTGGAACTCTGATTTTTGGGGTTTTTGGTGTAGAATTAACCATATTTTTATAAAAAATTAGGGAAAAATAAAACATTTAAAAAATAGTTGCCGGTATTGTAAAAACTTCACTGTACCTAAACTTTATTGACTGACTGTATATCTTATTTAAGTTAAGTAAAACAAAAACTTTCGCAGTACTTCACATACATATAAGCTTAAAAAGAACTGAATTTACTTAAAAATCAACGTGCTTAAATTTAGACAAGTAAGACAAAGTGAACTAATATTTTTACTTTTAAGCAGAACGCAGTTTTTTTTTTAACTTTCTACTTAAGTTCAATACTGCTACCACTACTACTAATGTGGTTTATAAATTTTTAATAAATGCGTTTAAACATTTGTGATTGTATTGTCCTTCCTTCAACCGATCGTATTTAATATACAAGGGAAATGTTTCGACAAGCCTGATTAGAAATGTAGATCTAAGGTGACGAATTTATAACAGGTTGAGAACTATAAAAAATGGATGCAGATCGAACTAGATCTCATCTGTCGAATTAGGAACTGGTTTGGAACTATAGAAAAAGGGATGCAAAACGAACTAGATCTTATCTGTTGAATTTGGAACTGGTTCGGAACTATAGAAAAAGGGATGCAAAACGAACTAGATCTTATCTGTCGAATTTAGAACTGGTTCGGAACTAGAGCCAAAGGGATGCAACGGGGGATAATTGACACTTCCCAGGACATCGCAATGTTAAATTCGCCAGTCGCTAGCATGCAAAAGAGAATTAACGCGTACTACACCTTTTCCAACTGTATTTCAGAGAAACGTAAATGTATATCAGAAAACCACAAATCTATTTCAGAAAAACTCAAATGTGTTTCAGAAAAGCGTAAATGTATTTCAGATATTCAATATTCCTTTCAGAAAAACGCAAATGTGTTTCAGAAGAACTCAAATGTGTTTCAGAAAACAGCAAATGTATTTTAGATATTCAATATGGCTTTCAGAAAAACGAAAACCTATTTTGGAAAAGCTCAAGTTTTTTTCAGAAAACCACAAATGTATTTCAGAACACCACAAATCTATTTCAGAAAAGCGGAAATGTATTTCAGAAAATTGAAATGTGTTTCAGAAAATCACAAATGTATTTCAGAAAAATACAAATGTATGTATGTTCCCAAAATTTTTATCCCCATCGTCTTCCCAATTAAGTGAGAATTATATAAGCAACGACCAAACAGTACTTGTGAGTGTGCGAATTTATTAAAAAATAAGTAAAAGAATTACATTCCTACAGGCATGTCGCGTAATGCCAAAGCATCAGAGAAAAAATGGATGAGTGTTTTATAGCGCGAGCACAATCCACAGTAGCAATGGTTTCTTTTGCTTCGTGAATTAAGCCTTCCAAGTACTGCAAACGCCTTTCGACCACTCCAGGTCCATTCACAGCGGGAAGTGAAATATGCGTTTTTACGTAAGCTTTTGTTTTCGCCCATACGTTTTCGATGGGGTTGAGCATTGGCGAGTATGGCCCAAGACGCAAAAGTGTAGCCGATCCATTATTGGCGGCAACTTGCTCCAGTCCAGCATGGCAAGGTGCATTGTCGCACACAATAACTAAGTCCGCCAAATTATTTCCCAAACCGGTCCACTTCTCGAGGATCCCCTTCACCCACTCTCCAGCACTCTCTTTTTTAAAAGAGCCGCGTCGCGTTTCCATTGATAACACACCCGCTACGCTTACAGCACCGATTAAATGTACATTTGGTTCTCTTGATGGCGGCAGTATTACTGCTGCTCGCGTCCCAGATCGTGCGCGACCTTTTGCACAACGACAAAACAAGTTAAAATTGGTTTCATCAATGTAAACTATTTACTTTCCTTGCTGAATAAAACCACTCAAAGCTGATACAAATTCGGAACGTTTCTGCTTGTTTTCCAACGTGTTCATCGTCGTTGGTATATGGTGCACGCTTTTGAGGGTGAATAATTTACCCTCTATGTAGTTTGCAGCGGTCGATGTGCAAATACGTTTGCACTTTGGAGACTAACTGCTTTAAGGTGACAGTACAGTCTTCTTCCACCCAACGAACCATTACAGCTACCTCGTTTTCAGTCAGCTTCTTTTCATTCTCTCCACCTCGTTTTTGAGTCACGACTCTGCCGGATTGCACCCATGTGAAAGCAGTTTTATAAACTATATCTAAAGATGATGCTAAACTGCACCAGTCTTCTCCCTTATTAGCGGCCTCAACAATCCGCAATCTGTCCTCGTTGTTATATTTCCTGTAATGAGTTTTTTCCAGAACCTCGTTATATGCACACAAAAATTTTTTATATGCATAAATAGATAAATATAAAATGCTATTTATTTATTTAGATGTATATGTTATTATATGTACGAGTACTTACCTTCAATATTTCCTCGACATATTGGACACTTTTCTTCTACAATGACAGGTCCACTACATTTTGCGTACAATAAATGTCCACATGGAAGCAAACGCACGACTGATTTTCTGCGCATGTCCATCATGCAAATCGTGCAATTATCCTTTAATTCCATTTAATAAATTTATTACTCGTTACCGCATAAAATTACTATTGAATATTAACTGCGTATTTTATAAAATATTTGTTTTTTTAAGTTTATCTCCATGCATACTACATACATTAGTAATTGCATTTTCTAAAGTATATACTTTTATGGATTTCTGAAATACATTTGTGTTTTTCCGAAATACATTTAAGTTTTTCTGAAATACATTTGTGATTTTGTGAAACACATTTACGCTTTTCTGAAACACATTTGAGCTTTTCTGAAAAAGATTTGTGGTTTTCTGAAATACATTTGCGGTTTTCTGAAATAAAATTAAGCTTTTCTGAAATGGGTTTGTGTTTTTCTGAAAGGCATATTGCATATCTGAAACACATTTGCGGTTTTCTGAAACACATCTGAGTTTTTCTGAAACACATTTACGCTTTCCTGAAACACATTTGAGCTTTTCTGAAATAAATTTGTGGTTTTATGAAATACATTTAGGTTTCTCTGAAATACAGTTGGAAAAGGTGTAGTCAAGGTTCCAAACGTACTAGAACCGAACCAGTTCCGCACTAGTTCGTTTCACTACAGGGTATTGACGTTTTACAAAATTGTTCAAATAATAAATTAAGTGAAGTTCGAGAGAGATTCGTTAAGGTTCAGGAACAAATTTTAAGAAGACGTAATCGAAATAAAACAATGAAATCATATGAACCTGGAGAACGAGTTTTTGTGAGAAGAAATAGGCGACTAGGAAATAAGTTTGGTAAAATTTTTGTGGAAAAGACGATTGAAAGGGATCTTGGAACAACAGTTTTAATCGAAGGGAAAAGAATTCATAAAAGCAATCTCAGATGAATGTTTGCTCGGTATTTTAAAGGTAATACGTACAATTTTACGCAATATATTAATATTTCATTCGATTGCGCTATCAATTTTGATTATTTACAATTTGTGTTAATTCTATTAAATTTATTACTTTTAATATTGTTACTTGTTGACTTATGAATTATAGAATTTTTATTTTTAAGTTATTTCAGCTTGTTATAGTCACACAGTAGAACTAAACCTATTAACTGAAACGAGGACGTTTCTAATTTAAAAAGGGGGAGTAGTTAAGGTATTCTACTGTATGCTTATGGCACTGTCTTCAGAAGAATTAGAAGTTGCTTTGAATAATATATTTTCATGTAAAATGTAAAATGAAAAATTTTGAAATTTGTTTTCAGAATAAAATTTGTTACGAACCCGACAAGATCAGTTGTTAAAATTTAAATTAATTTCGAAGTTTTTTAAGTTATATAAACTGTATTTTTATAAAGAATAAAAAGAGGTTCATGCATTATGAAAAATTCTCTGTGCTTTAGTTGTGATAAGTTGTTTTGTTTTGTTGGCGTACGTTGTAATGATCTCATGATCTCATGTTTTTATGTTTTTGTTTTTGTCTGTCAAAATAAAATTTCACTGCATCCTTTCGCACGTCGAAATGAAAGGGAAGGGAGCGAGAGGCCCTCCCTAAAGTGTCCCGGTTTGGCAACATAGATATCTGGCAGCCCTAAGCTTTACCCAGTTTTTAGCTTTATTAATGTCAGAAAAAACTAGTTTTGAAACGTAGGCCACAAAATATTGCAACTGCGGAACGATACGGGAAGCGGCTGATATGTAAGCATGCATAATAGTACGATTTTAATTAACTTTTTTAATCTATAAATCAGGGCTGTAGATGGAAAAGTTATATTTTTAATACAGGATTATTTTATAATTTGGATTTCAGGGTAAAAATTTTGTATTCTTAATTATGTTTTGGATAGTTCAGCTCAAAAAAGCAGATAATCTGGTCATAAGTATGTAGCTAAACAAAAACCTAATTGGGTGGTATGTAGTAAAGTTTTTAACGGCAAAATAAATTTTTGTATTAATTGAAACCAACTATTTTATGATAGCTTGGGAATCCCTTAAATATACCGCCTCATCGCGAGAGTCGTGTCGAATGCAAGTCGTTTTTCGAGAGTCGAATCGTAACGAAAATTTCATATCATTGCCTAAAATTTCCAGTCTAATAGTGTATTCAAATTGAAAAACTTGGCAGCACTGCACAGTTTTCGACGATGTTCGTCATTTATTTCTGCACGACATAAATTTGAAGAACTTTTTCCTCGTCACTCCCTGGCGGCAACAATGATCCGTTTCTATGGTGGCAATTTCAAAATGCAATATACGTAGACTTATTTTAGACGAAATACCGTAAAAGCTTACACGCATAATAATATTGGAAAATCACATCCATTGGGCCAATCGTAACACAGGAGAGTTCGATATACTCAATGGAGCAACAGGTCAATTTAACTTGACATTCACCGCACCTTTTCTCACTTGGCGATTTTTGCAACAGTATTTCTACCAATACATATTTTATATATTAGCCAAATCGGATCATCAGTAAGATCTTTAGTAATAACTCAACTACAACGCCAACTGGCGGGTTAAATTGTGAATGTAAAGCATACAGAGACCCACTCAAACACATACAAAAAATTTCGTTAAAATCCGGACACCCATTTAGGAAAATTTCACTCACAAACATTCAAAGATAGCTAAAAGTCGGTACATTTGTAGGCCAGCGCCCTCTTTTCAAATAGCCACATTTTTCTCCATGAGTATGGGCTTGCTTTCATATACATACATATCTTAATACGAAGTTACAGTACTGTACCATGAACACTTCCAGAAATACGTAGTGTTAAAGCCTGGTTTGTATGGGAGGTGCCACACCCCCTTTTACAATAGCTCCATATATTCTCCATGACTATGCGATTAATTTCATATATCACCACACCAAGTTCCAGTACTCTACCAAGAACAATTATAGAGATATGCAATAAGAAAAATTCGACTTGTATGGGAGGTGCCACGGCCGTATAAAGTTCCAGTACTCTACCATGAACACTTCCAGAGATACTTATTATGAAAAATTCGGTTTTTATGGGAGGTGCCACGCCTCCATTTCAAATAGTCCGAATTTTTCTTCATGACTATGCGATTGATTTCGTATATCTCCATACCAGTTCCAGAACTCTACCATGAACATTTCCAGAGATATGCAGTATGAAAAATTCGGTTTTTATGGGAGGTGCCACGCCTCCATTTCAAATAGTCCGAATTTTTCTTCATGACTATGCGATTGATTTCGTATATCTCCATACCAGTTCCAGAACTCTACCATGAACATTTCCAGAGATATGCAGTATGAAAAATTCGGTTTGTATCGGAGGTGCCACGCCCCCTTTTCCAATAACTCCAATTTTTCTTCATGAGTTTGTGATTGCTTTCGTGTATCTCCATACCAAGGTATAGAGCTCTACCATGAACACTTCCAGAGATATGCAGTATGGAAAATTCGGTTTGTATGGGAGTTCTACGCCCCCTATTATATATTGGATTTCTTTTAGCCAGCAACCATCCTTGTGACAAGTGCGGCAGGTGTACGCAATTTCAAGAAAAAATTTTCAGCCATTCTCGAGCTTTGCGAACACAAAAAACGGCTTTCAAAATATATAATAGTATAGATTGTGAAATGTATAAAGGGCAGCAGTCTACCGGATATCCGATCGGATATCCGAATCCGGCTCTTATTTTTCAACTCCAACAATTTATGGTATCCGGAATCCGGTTATCCGGCAAAATCTCTATCCGGCACATCCCTACTAATTACAAATCCTTGTAATTTGAAATTGAGAGTATTTTAATTTCTAAAGGAATGATTACGACCCAGCTCTGCCCATAAATAAAATACTTATAAACTACTACACATTATAGACTAAAAAAATATGTAATAACAAAATTTCGTATATTTTAGTCAAAGAATGTATAGAAAAGCGTACCGGCCGACCCGATACTGAATTAGTACGAGATACGCCTGAAGAAGAGCTTATAATTGAATTAGCACTAATCGCTGCTATTCGTCAACAATTGAAGAAAACACTGGAAGATTTCGAGCAGCAGCAAGTAGAGAATCGCACAGCGCGTCAACGTCTTGAGTACGATTGGAGCGACAAAAAGGAAGCCTACGAAATGGACGCCATTAATGTAGGTCTCAATAATTATTCGAAGACCATAATGTTCCGACCAGGCGCAATACGCCAACCTGCTGAGTGAGTTTTGTGTTCAAAATACAAAAGTGATTACGTAATCTTTATTAAACAAAGATATATTTAGACAAGCCTCCGAGCAGTATTGGGAACATTTTAGTAAAGAAACTTTAGAAGAATGTGAGAAGTGCCGTCAAAAATCAATTAAACTACGCCAGACGCTCAATTCGATATTAATGAATGCCGCACGTGATATTCGTATCCAGGCTAATGTGGTAGAGCGTGCTTTTATAGCTCGCATTAATTGTACTCAAGAAAACCTTCAACGCTTCGAAAACGAATTACATGCTGTGAGTCAGAACTGTTGCTATACATAACAACACGCAATAATAACTCTTAAAGTGGGACAACTAAGTAACATGTAGTTCCAAAAATGTGATATGCAAATTTTGGAACCACGAGCATTTTGTTTTGGTTAGAAATATTTTGGTGTAAATAAGTACGAAATTATTACTTTCAAGACGGAAGTATTTTATGCTCCATAGTTTGATTCCAAGTGCAAACATTAACCCCTCAATGAATCGTTGGGTTTGTGCTAACTGGAGTTAATAGAAGTGCGATATTTTGAACAGTTTTGAAAATTTTGCATTTGTTTATTTAATGTTTTGTTGGTTGTTTTTTATAAAAGTCTAGCTGATTATACAACAGATAAGTATCATAAAAATTCATATTTCAAACTTTGTACAGAAATTATAAGAATTCTATAAAGTTTCACCAAAATTTCAAACTTTTTAATCATTGAGCTCAATAAATTGGAGTAAAGCAAAACGCAAGTTTCAAGCTTCTAAAACATTCTGGTGATTTTTGGAAATTTTTTTTTGGCCGTGTCTTCCGTATAAAAGAAAATTGTCTAACAAATGTACTTTGTACGGAGAAAAGCAAAACACCTTCAACCAAAAAAATTTAAAAAAATAAACGGGATTTTTACTACAGTTTAATAGGCTACAAACCTGCACGCACATGGTGAAATAAATATAAGTTGACGTCACTTACATAACCTCACTTTTTCTGCATGCCAATTGCGGCCATGCATTTTGGGGTAGTAGAAAAAAGGGGAAAAGATTAGGATTATTTTTACTACTTTTCTACTTACTATTTCCCATACATACATATATCAGTGGACCCCACACGAGTTAAGTGAAGCTTGCATCAATAAAATATTTTTTCTGTAAACCAGTGTAATCACAGTTTCACTTTTTCGCTCAAAAGAAATTATTATTACTTAATTTTTATTTTTTCGATCAAATATCGATGGCTGAGTGGAAGATCGACCTATCTCGGCAGCCAGTTCGAAAACGCCCTATCTCTGAAAATTTTTCAACATCGTTCTATCTCAGAAAACTTTTCAAGAACGCCTTACTTCAGAATTTGATTGGAAAACACCCTATCTCAGAATTTTGTTGAATAACGCCCTATCTCAGCTGCCGATTCAAAAACGCCTTAACTCAGCTTATTTTCGTTTGAGATAGGGCGCTTTTGAACCGAATTCTGAGATAGGGCGTTCTTCAACAAAATTCTGAGATAGAGTGTTTTTCAATAAAATTCTGAAATAGGTTGTTTTTCAATAAAATTCTGAAGTAGGGCGTTCTTGAAAAGTTTTCTAAGATAGGGCGTTTTCGATCCGGCTGCCGAGATAGGTCGATCTTCCACTCAGCCATCGATATATTGATTTTAATAATTATTATTCAGTTTAATTTTTCTACCTTAAAATTATTATTTGTAAAACTTAAAAGGCCACTCGGTCGTACCACACACATATGAAGATGGTTAAAACTTAAAAAATATGGACTATTTTCCGTCTTTCATTTCTTCATATTAAAACAAGTTAAATTATACCGTTCTCTTTATGGTGGATTTACATGGTATGAAGCCATATGAACTGTTGATACGCTAAACTAGAGGGACTACATGTCCTTATGAGGAATTCAATGATATCGAGTGGGATGCATATAATAGATTTTTTCATATGAAAAATTATGGGGAGATACTGTAAACATACTGTTGTGATACTGTTAAGCATATGTAATTAGAGCAAGTTGGATTTTCATACATCTTCCCATAAAAAGTTTAACAGATGCAGAGATACCAAGGACGTTTTTTCCCATTTTGATGCCTTTTTTAATATAAAACCCACCGAAAAGGAGGAAAGCGGCAACTCCGCCATCACATACATGTCAAATGTAGGAATTTTAAAAATTAAAAACAATAAACAAACAATTTGAAACCAACAAAAAATCTTAGTACTAGATCTTTTTCAATAGAAACGACTCACGTATGGTGGACAATAAAAATACAAAGCACTATGATAACAAGACATTACACAACATTTTAATGAGCCTTTATATCACATTTAAGTAAACATAAGCCTATATTTTTTCAAAACTATAGAAGGTATGTATACTTCTCCCTTTTATTTTTTCATACAGTTGATGCTTCTTTCTGGCTTTTACAAAATGCAGGGATATCACACTTATTTCGGTACAATATGATCGTNATTTTCATACATCTTCCCATAAAAAGTTTAACAGATGCAGAGATACCAAGGAGGTTTTTTCCCATTTTGATGCCTTTTTTAATATAAAACCCACCGAAAAGGAGGAAAGCGGCAACTCCGCCATTCACATACATGTCAAATGTAGGAATTTTTAAAATTAAAAACAATAAACAAACAATTTCAAAACAACAAAAAATCTTTGTACTAGATCTTTTTCAATAGAAACGACTCACGTATGGTGGACAATAAAAATACAAAGCACTATGATAACAAGACATTACACAACATTTTAATGAGCCTTTATATCACATTTAAGTAAACATAAGCCTATATTTTTTCAAAACTATAGAAGGTATGTATACTTCTCCCTTTTATTTTTTCATACAGTTGATGCTTCTTTCTGGCTTTTACAAAATGCAGGGATATCACACTTATTTCGGTACAATATGATCGTAATGTATTTTCTAATTTCGAAAAGAAAAAACATCCCACGAAAATGTTTGCCATTGTAGAACAATAAGTGTATATTTGTAAACTAATGTAAAGAAAGGAGTGTCATATCTTAAAAGGTTGGGAGAATTAACGAAACAAACAAACATTTTATGGTCTTATGTTTCCTTCAAACCGCATTGCTATTTTTTCTAACTCTTCCTTTTGTTTAGCGCTGTAACCGCTTAAGTTATATTATTTAATTTATACATGTGAGTTATTTTCAATGAGCATTTTTTCATTTGCTCCTGAATTTTGGGTACATTTTCTTATAGTACCTCTCATTATTTTTTATATTACATATCGATGGCTGAGTGGAAGATCGACTTATCTCAGTNGCGCTGTAACCGCTTAAGTTATATTATTTAATTTATACATGTGAGTTATTTTCAAAGAGCATTTTTTCATTTGCTCCTGAATTTTGGGAACATTTTCTTATAGTACCTCTCATTATTTTTTATATTACATATCGATGGCTGAGTGGAAGATTGACCTATCAGCAGCCAGTTCGAAAACACCCTATCTCAGAAAACTTTTCAAGAATGCCCTACTTCAGAATTTGATTGAAAACACCCTATCTTAGCTGCCGATTCAAAAAGGCCCTATCTCAGCTTATTTTCAATGTATTTTCGTTTGAGATAGGGCGTTTTTGAACCGGATTATGAAATAAGGCGTTATTCAACCAAATTCTGAGATAGAGTGTTTTTAAATAAAATTCTGAAGTAGGGCGTTTTTGAAAAGTTTTCTGAGATAGGGCGTTTTCGAACTGGCTGCCGAGATAGGTCGATATTCCACTCAGCCAGCGATATATACACTCCGCTGTTCGCTGTCGCTCCTCTATTGGTAATAGTAAACCTCCGAGTGTATTCTGTCATGAAAACAGCTTCTCATAAAAATACAATTGCCGTTCGGAGTCGGCGTAAAACTGCCCTTCCCCTTTGTGTGACAAAATCAAGGTGCACGCCCCATATGGGAGGAGAAGCTAGGCCAAACACTAACATATTGTGTAAGCGCCAATCTGTATATCGTCGTTTAAAGTAAAAAATCGCGTATCGTGGTTGTGCAAAACCTCGTAACTGACATTTGTGCCAAAAAAAGATATTTGCTCACCGGAAGCTCCTATCATCAAGGCCTTAATCATTTATAATAAAATTTTGATACTTAGACATAAGAAGAGATAATTAAGTTTAAAAGAGGGAACCGTTTTGAATTATGAGAAATTTTACTCTCTCCTATAAAATTTAGGCAACCTCACGTACAAGGTTTTGCATTTTCTTGATGCGCGGTTTTGTACTTTAAATGACGATATGTAAAAGTGTTGCATACATATTTTGGTGCCTTTTCAAGTATAAAATCCATTGAGAAACCGAAAGAAAACGGCATCCCTATGATTTCAACTTATGCCAAACGTTTTTAATATGAAAGACAAAAAACGTAAACAAGCAATTTCTGAACAAAAAACTGTTTATCCACAAAGATGTTTAAACGGAAGCATTACACATTTGAAAAAATAGCAAACCGCAAGGCTTTATTGGCAGTAGGTCCTTTTTAAAGCACATTAAAAATAAAATAAGCTTCTAGTTTCGAAGTTAGCACAAAATGAAATTTTTTTGTTTGTTGTTTACAAAAAAAATACTTGCCAAGTATATAAGTCAAAAATGTTAAATATATAT